ATAATGAACATAGCAGTCGTCATTTACTCCTGACATCTGAGCCGCTAAAGACGCAAAGGATTAACGTTACTTTAGTTTCTGAAAGGAATGCGCTGATCCCCGATCTGCCTAAATGCATCTGTTCTGCAAATTATTCGTTTTTTAATCATTATTTTTTATGAATCTTTGTGTGACGAGTGGGGGCGGGGCCGAGAGCCGTGGGAACGGAGCGAGGCCGGTGGAGTAATTGCTAACGAGCGACACCTGCGCCACTCGTCACACTTTGCAAATCGCCTTTCCTAATATATGCTAGTTAGCAAGTTTCGCGGCTGAAGTTTACAGTCTGCTCGTCACCCCACGGAAGAGAGGGGCGGGGTCAGCAGAGCTCATTAGCATTTAAAGCAACATGGACTAGATTGGCTTGCTGAAAACAGGGCTGATTTTGACAGGGTAAAAAGGGTTTTTTACACTACCATTGAGAGATTTTAACCAAAGTATGTTATAGACTTTTCATTAAGACCCTAAAGAATCATATCAACTTGTGGAAAATGGGCATCTGATAACCCCTTTAAGACATAGACAAAGTGTTTACTTGGATACTCGTCAAGACAGCCATTGTGACATAATATTGTGTGTATTTGCTCAAGAAGATGCAAAAGTGAACTCAATTTGTAACCCTGATTGTTCAGCTGATTATAGTTTTTTAGGGGGGCTGATAAGACAAATAATAGGCTGAAGCCCACCTAAAAAGGGTCTAGAACTGCCCCTGGTTACAGCAAAAAGTAATGTACTACTGTAATGTCTTTACTTTTGTAATGCGTTACTCCCAACACCCAATTAAAGCCTTTCCCTTTCATTTTAGCCTTGATGAAAGAGAATGAGAATGAGAAAGAGACTGAAGACCTGAGTGAAGCAGAGGAGAAACATCATCATATCAAATCTTTGAGTCACTCACATACTGAGAACATTTTTTCCCTGAAAAGATCCAAAAAATCTTTCACCTGCCTTCAGTGTGGGAAGAGTTTCAGACATAAAGGACACCTTAATGATCACATGAAAATTCACACTGGAGAGAAGCCTCACACATGTGATCAGTGTGGAAAGAGTTTCAGACATAAAAGAAACCTTAATGATCACATGAAAATTCACACTGGAGAAAAGCTGCACACATGTCATCAGTGCGGGAAGAGTTTCCCATACAAACCGAGCCTTAAACTTCACATGAGATTTCATAGTGGAGAGAAGCCATACACATGTGATCAATGTGGGAAGAGTTTCATACAGAAAGCACACCTTGATTATCACATGAGAATCCACACTGGAGAAAAGCCACACACATGTGATCAGTGCGGGAAGAGTTTTGCACATGTTAGGTCTTTTAAATCACATGCGCTCTCTCATTCTGGAGAAAGACCATATAACTGTGATCAGTGTGGTAAAAACTTTTCTTGGGCAAAATCCCTGAAGAACCACCTGAAAGTTCATTCAGAGGTGAAGCCTCACCTGTGTTCTTTGTGTGGAAAGAGTTTCAGTCAGCTGGGTCTTTTAACACAACACCAGAAAAGACACAGCGGTGTGAAGAATCATTTGTGCTTTTATTGTGGGAAGACCTTTATTAGAGCTGGTGAATTGAAACAGCACCAGAGGATCCACACTGGAGAAAAACCTTACAAGTGTTCACACTGTGACAAGAGCTTCAATCAGTCAGGAACCTTGAAAGCACACGAGAGAATCCACACTGGAGAGAAGCCGTATCACTGCCATCCATGTGGGAAAAGTTTCACTCATTGTAATTCTCTGCTGAGTCATAAAAAAAACAAATGTCTGAAATCATGAAATCATGTCTAAATTAATCGAAAGATCCAGCTCTTTCAAGTGCAATGCTGCATCTTCACAAAATGTGATCATTTTGCTTCATGAATTTAATAATCATTGTGCTTTATTATGAATTGTTTGTATTATATTACAACAATTAAGTTGTATTATGAAGAAAAATAGATTTTTTTTTTTTTTTTTACATGTACATGTTTCTGTGCTTGCATGTCTAGTTCGGGAAGCTAAAAAGAGTCTTAACACTTTTTAGTGGGACATCTGGTATTTATTTTAAATTTTGTCTTCATTGTTGTGCTTAGAACATCTTTAATCCACCATTTATGACATATTTAATAAATGCAGATGTCAAAGTATCATGTAGCTTTTCATCTGCAGCTTATTTGCTTCTCTTCTTCTTTTGAGATGCTTTGGATATATTCAATAAAGACAGAAATCTATTGTCAGAGCTGCCTAATAAATTATATTTCACGCCATTAATTCCGGTGTCTGTGGTGTCATTAAGTTGGAACAGTTAAAACTCCACACAGCTTTTGCAAATCATATCTCGCAATCTCTACAAGCTTTAACACAGCCAGAAAAAGAGTAGCTTGAATAAAGATAAGCAGCTTGACTCAGTGTGCATTTTTTTTAGTTATTTTGTTCATGTGTGTTTTATATGTTTTTATCGTTGTGAACAATATGGTGCGTTTTTGATCACTCCTTAGGAGTATTACCGCCACCTACTGTACATCTTTCGTCTTGCATGGGTAATGTGTCTGATGTATGTGCATTGTATTCTTTTATGAGAATGTAGTGCCCCATCCAACCCAGAGGATCAGATTACTTCATTATCCACGTTTTTCTTAATGTTTTAATATTATTATTATTATTCTGCTAACTTCAGTTTCAGCCAAACTGTTATGAACACTGTTTTTGTTATTTTGAGTGCCATGTTTGAGAATTAAGTTTTTCCAATGGAAAGTTTTTTTTTTTTTTTTTGCACTTTCAAGTGCACTTTCACCAACAGAATGTCTATAGACATTGACACATCACCAATATTTGATATTCCTGATGCTGCAATGCCACGCTGCACCAATCTGTTTGCTATCAGGATGACAAAAAGTTTAAAAAGTTACAGCACTTAAAATTGGCTGATGACCAAACTTGATGAAAATCTGATGACCAAACAAATAAAAAAAAATGCAGGTTTTACTGTTCACATTAATTCAAATGCATTAAGGGTGAAAGAGTACAAAGTAAGATATAGACTATAGCTAAATATTTAACATCTGACAGCTGCTTTAAGATTGAAATGAAGAAAACTATTATGAGTAGAAAGCTGGTTTTATTCCAAACTCAGCCAAAACGAATATATTGCTAATAAACAATCATTTAAAATAAATATTTACTCAAAATATGTATAAACAAACAACTATTATGGTGTAAAAATGTAAAACATTATTATGATACGTGTTTGGTCATTAATAGTTTGCCTCAAAAAGGAAAAGACTGTCATAATTTACTCACCTCCAAGTTGTTCAAACCTGTATACATTTCTTCCAATGAATATGAAAAGTTATTTTGAAGAATGTGGGAAGTTTTCTGTCAGTTTCTGGTTCTCAATGTATTTTCCCCCATACTAAAAGTCAGTGCAGCAGCTGTTTGGTTACCCATATTCTTCATGTTTGAAAAAGTTACTATTGACTTTTTCATAGTGTGATTTTATTTTAAAACCAGATAGTTTCAGTTTGAATGGCAGATTTCATAATAATTTCCAGATTAATAATAACAATAGTAATAATAACAAAACAATAACAATAATAAAAGTCATAATAATAATAGCAACAGCAACAACAATAATAATAATATATGGAGGCCTTAACAATTAAAAAACAAAAACATACTTTTTTTTTTTTTTTTTTACATTTTAGAATTTAGTTTACATTTGTGACCCTGGAGCACAAAACCAGTCATAAGTCGCTGGTGTATATTTGTAGCAATAGCCAAAAAAACATTGTATGGGTCAAAATGATCAATTTTTCTTTTATGCCAAAAATCATTAGGATATTAAGTAAAGATCATGTTCCATGAAGATATTTTGTACATTTCCTACTGTAAATATATCAAGACTTAATTTTTGATTAGTAATATATGCATATATATATATTAATATATATCTCGGTCAAATGTTGTCCTATCCTAACAAACCATAAATCAATGGAAAGCTTATTTATTCAGCTTTCAGAGTATGTATAAATCCCAATTTCAAAAAATTGACATTTATGACTGGTTTTGTGGTCCAGGGTCACATTTCAGAAATCTGGTCATCTTACTAAATATTGCACTAAATAGAAGCATTGCCCTATACAGTGGCAAAAGATTCAGCTATTGTAGGATATAACTAATAATAATGCAATAAACAAACTGACTGCTGAATCCTCAGTTTGTCATAAAGCTTGATTACACCGTGTGATCTGCTGTCAGATTTCTGTAAGATAAAATGGGGGAAGTTTTAATTTTTTTGTTGTGCAAGAATGCTGAAAGGACACACAGAACAATAGCATCATGCCCATATATATATGCAAGCAAAAACAAATACTGATCGATGCAAACAGACACAGATCCGCGATGGAGCTGAACAAACAGAGAGACACGGTGTTTACAGTAATACTGTATCTTACCGTATTGTGTACACATTGCACCCAGAACGGAGTTGTAGCCTAATGTACCTGGCAAAATAAAAGAGTGTTCAAAAACATATTATTCAAAATGTTGTCTCAACGCTCAAACTCCACATTGCGGCATGCCATTTGAAGTACCACAAATTATCCAACTACAGCATATGTTAAAACTCCAGTCAGTTTTTATGCACCTGTATAAGCTTTCAGTGTTTCAATGTTTATAGCACTGTTTTCAACAATTAAGACTGCAATAATAGTTAAGTGCAATAATAATTACCTTCTTGTGTGTTTACAGTTCCAGCTGAACCAGGATGTCATTTTAAAACCTGCAATAATGACCAGCACTACAGGAAGTATTAGTGCTATTAGAAAGAAATAGTGGCTCCGTTCTGTAATAGAAATAGACAACAGCACATTTTATAAGTTCTTGCTTTACTTTGGAATCAAACTTATGACTTTGGCATTGCTAGTGCTGTGCTCTACTGCTTGAGTTACAGGAAAGTAGCAGTAATACAGTACTACAGTACAATACAAATATCAGTCCTGTCCTACAAAGAACAATAGAGCAGCCTAAACAGACTCTATTACCACCACTGACGTACCTGCACATGGCTGACAGAGTCCACTGATGTCCAGATGTCTGGTCTGGTTGCTGATGGGATTGTTGAGCACACAGCTGTAGGTGTTGTTATCCTGATATTCCACCTCCAGAGGTAGAGAGAGACTGATGCTGAGATCAGACACACTGATGCTGGACAATAAACTGTTTCCTTTGTACCAGGAGAGAGTCACATCACTCACATTCACAGCTGAACACAGCAGTGAACAATTGGACACCGATGAATGTCCAGATGATGATGAAGAAGAAGAACAGTTTGAAGAGTTACTGGTGATGACAGGAATGGGAAGAGGAGCTGGAAAACAAATGAATAAAAAATTACTACAAACAGTACAGTACAGTACAGACATAATGTTCATTTTTTAATGAGCTCTCCATTTTAAGACAAATTAATTTATAACCAGCATGAAAGTGTTGAAGAAGGAAACTGCATACCATAGACTTTAACACTAAAACGCTTGAATGTTTCTATATTTCCATTTCTGATGATGGTAAATTCATAACGTCCAGGGTCTTTTGTGCTGATTTTCCTGATGGTGAGAGATCCTGTCTGACAATCAAGCTGAAATCTGTCTCTGAACCTCTCATCACATTCAATCATTTTCTTTTCATTGTTGTTAGCTTTACATAGATGATCTCCATCTGCAGACCTCCACCGTAATCAGATCACCGCTTTGTATTTCAGTAGCATTGGGGAAAAATATCACGCATTCTCCCTCCATCACTAAACCATTCTTTTCAACTCTTACATCTGTAAAACACAGAATCCAGTTTAAACTTTATACTCAATTGTAATTTGAAAATTCTTCTCATCCTGTTAGCATTATTAGCCTAAGTCAGAATTTCAAAGGGTTTGCATATTCTACTCACAGGATCTGGAAAAGAACTGTCGTTGAGTTTGAGTGGCCGCGTATGTGTCGCTGAAGCTCCAGATAATGTGTGATCTGCTCTCCTTGTCCTTAAACCCCTCATAACTGTCTGAGGTAGAGATGATCCTTTCATAGACTTCAGGGGTGTGAATATTTGGAGACCCAAACATCCACAGCACATGATCGACTCGGTGTTTTTCAGTAATATCATTGTGAAGAATGATGAAATCTCTCTCAGTCACACGTGTCACCATTTCATCCCTCGCAAAATCATTCACATCTAGTAAAAAGTTGAATTAAAGCAATAGCTATAATATGGTCAGTGATGAAAAATGTTAATGCATCTGAAAATTAATCTTAGACACTGTCATGCAAAGTTGCAGCCTATTTTTTACATTAATTTTTTTATTTTATTTGTGTGTGTGTGTGTGTGTGTGTGTGTGTGTGTGTGATCATCTAGCCTATTCATTATTCAAAAGGACAAATCTCAGTTACTATTTTGGTCACCAAGAGTTTTTCAAACGTTTCTCTGTCTATATAGGCATATATAATTTTTGTCAAATGAAACGGTAAAATGCTCATAAGTGACTCTTAAGGCAGCTCTGGAGATTAAGTTTACACAGCGGGCAAGAGCTTGTAACACTCCAAAGAGAAAGGAAAAATTGAAATCGCATCATATGACCCCTTTAAGTGTTCGAGTTTGTATAGCCTAGTAGGCTAGATGAAACCGCGCGTGTCTGCGTCATTGATTAACACAGAAACGTATTTAAATAGTATTTTGCGGTTTAATATTCACAGACACGAGCCCATATCGCGATTTGATTAAGCGTACTGATCTACTTTTGATTTACTTATCCAGAACTTAATTAGCCTAATTTCGTGACATTCCGTGTTATAGCCTACAGTAAATTCCAGTTCGACTGGATTCCGCGATTCCGTCCGCGTTTAGCGCATCGCTGAAATTACGACGCCCTAAATTTATTTCGCGGACCCCTGAGAATCCCTGGATTACAGTGCTAGAAAATATAGAGTAGAGTTTTTTAAAAATGCATCACTCACCATCCTTACACAGATTAAAACAGAACAAAGCAAGAAAAAAAATCAAATTCTTCAGCTTGAATAGATGAATAGTTTCCATCGTGCTTCCATCGGCTGTTCTGCTGTTTCTCATTGAAAAGATCATACCTGTAAACTAACTGGAGAAAGCTGTAGGCTACTGCATTTGTAAGTGTCATAACTTAAAGTCATCTTCTACTACAATACAATCCCAAGTGAAAACGAAAAATGCACATGCGTAACACGTGAGTTGTGACGTTTACATATGTGTCAGTGCTTCTAAAGCGAACACCATACACTCTTAGAAAAGAGGTTTAGTGGAGAACCTACTATTCCGACTCAATTTTAAAGAACATTTTATGCCACAATGTTAAAAAAATATAAGGAGAAATGTCTTAAATTATTGCTAAATTATTTCATGTTTAATGCGTGTTTAATGTTATTTCATTTTTTTTCTAGATATAAAGTAGCCTAAGTTTACGAGCTGCTTAGTTCATAAATAAAAAAATTATTTAAAACCATTTTAAAATAAATCATATTCATAAACCATATAATCATAAATAAATAAAAAATAGGAATAAGTTACGGGTAGGGTTAGGGGCAGGGTTAGGTCTATGCTTTTGGGCAGTAATCCAGGATCAGCAAAAGATGTTGAGGAACATGTCTTGGCAAAATCACGGCGACCGTGAATGTTGCACATGGCGAAATCACGTTCACCTATGTTTTTCTTTACTACTATCGCTGTGCATGCAAATATGTCTTCGTTTGTCACAGGACTATTTGGATACGCAAAAGGCAGCAGTCAAATTCATTCAGTTTAGTTTCACCTGTTCCAACAGCAAAAGAGAAACTACTATCCAGCTAACAGGGAGCATTCTCAGAACTTTGGCTTAACGTTAAGAACAGACATTCTTCCAGTAATTTTAATAGACTGTTTGTTCAAATATATGTGGTCTTTAATAATGATTACATTTATACATTGTTCATGGAATATTTTCTGTTAAATTATTTAGTTGGATGTTCATGTAACATTTTCTTAAATTTAACTACTTGTTTCTGAATGTTCAGCGAACACAATGTCCCTGTTTGCAAAATCATAGAGGAATGTTTCCAAAATGTTACATAACCAAGAAAAAAAATGTTTCTAAAACATTTAGAAAACGTAATGTTTTTAACGTTTTGAAACATTCAGAAATATTTTTTTCATAACTCAACATGAACATTAGCACAACATTCTTAGAGCATAGTTTTGTTAGATGGGAAGGACTGTTGGCATGTCAGTTGGAAACACTAAATGAGAACATCTATGTGAGCACCAAATGTCGGAATTCAAAGTAAGAAACGTTGCAGCGGGGCTGAACCGCAGCATGTAGTGGACTGGAAATGTCCCTGAATGCTGCTTTAAAGGTTTTAAGTATGATACTAGCAGGCTCGTCAAAAACCTCAATGGTAGCAAACATTCATTTCATGGCAACACATGTAAATTGTATTTTTTAGTGGTTCATCTTTTTTAAATTGTATTTTCCCCCTCTGAAACATGACTGATTTTGCAGTTACACTCTCTGTGCTCTAGAGTCTAGGGGGCATTTAACTTCCTTTACAATCATTTCAGCTACCAGCAGAGGACTTTATTCAAATATACATGTACAGTGAATTGCTCATCTGGGTATCTCCCCAGAGCTCACGGTACATTACAACGCCTGGAATTATAGAAAGGGGCATATTCTGAATTGCTACAGTGCTGCAAGACAAAGCAACACCTGGTGGTGGTTTTAATTACAACTGCAATGAGTTGTTTTGTCTGAATGGCATTTCAGGTTACATTGTTGTCATTATGTGCATTCATCAGTTTTAGATATTGATCCAAGTGTGCTACAGGTGGTAACTAAATACATATTTTAAAAACAGAAAGTATGTTAAAAGCACATTTTAGTTCATATTTATGGTGTCCCACAATAGCACAGATGAGTACACTTAGATTTTGCAAGATTATCTTAAGTACTAACGAATAATATTTTTAGTACACTCTAAAAAATGCTGGGTTGTTTCAACCCAACGTTGGGTCAAATATGGACTAACCCATCTGTTGGGTTACATTTTTTAATGAAAGTTTTAACCCAAAAGTTGGGTTAGTCCATATTTGACCCAAAGTTGGGTTGAAACAACCAGCATTTTTTAGAGTGTATAATAAGTACAAAATTAGTGCGTGAAAATAGAGCACTTTAAGTATGGAAGTGCACTTTTTTTTCCTCCTGGGCAGCTCTAATTCCCCAAAGTAAGTTATTTAAAACTGTTTGTCATCATACCAGAAAGGAGCCCAGGAGTGTAGATACAGGAATGTAAGGAAGCTGAGGGTGTTTGCATACTGAAAAAAGACAGTTCACAGTTACGCAATATATCTTACCATACTCTGAAACTGATGTGTACAGAATGTAGTATCAACATAATGCATCTCTACATCCTGAACCTGAACCGTTTTAATAAAAAAGCATACATTAAACAAATACATTTGAATCTACATGAAATGTTTATTTATTGGCATGTCAGTAGTTGCCTTTTTCCCATGGTCCCATGTGGTAAATAAAAACCTACAACTACAGCTACAGTAACACCTATAGAGTAACAGCTATTGCCATTATGAGACATGAACGCTTGTACTGCACAGAAATAGTTATCTAATACAGTGTAAAATTAAAAATAAATAATTAAGATTATGGAAATGTGATTTAACATTTAGGTTTCAAATAAGCAGGCGGTATTTATTCTAGGGAACATAAAAGAAAATACTTTGCAGAAATGTTGGGAGCCAAAAATCATTGAACCCCATTAACTTCCACTGTATGGAAAAAAAGTATCTTATCTTCTTTGCTCCCCAGAAGAAAGTAAGTCATATACTGTAGGTTTGGGATGGCAGATTCATCAGTCCAGTACATAGAAACTGCATCAGATCCAATTAATAAAACTTTATTTTTTATTAAATGAAACCAGTTACACAGATATATACAAAACTAAAGACATTTTAACTAAAATGTAACACAAGAATGCCATAGTACTGTTGTTTAGTGTTTATAAAGCTCACAATGATGATGAAGTCATGTTTCAACACTTGCTGATCTTCTAGGTGGTTTTCCTAGCTGGTTGCTTTCTGCCAGGTGTATACTGTATGTCTGATCCCACTCTCCTAATTTGAGGCATCATTCATGTCTGGAGCACAAACCGTAACTGTAAAGGTATAGTTATACAGTGTTGGGGGTAATGCATTACAAGTAACGCGAGTTACGTAATCAGATTACTTTTTTCAAGTAACTAGTAATGTAACGCATTACTTTTTAATTTACAAGAGAATATCTGAGTTACTTTTTCAATTAAG